TCTAAAAACTGGCAAATGGCTGTGACTAAATAAAAAACTGATTTACTACCTAAAACTCTAATAATATGCAAACAAAATCATTCAAGTGCTAACAAAGTATATTTTTTATATTATATAACAATACTTTGACYACTTTTGATTAAGATATATAACAATAATTTCTAAAAATTAAATGTTTTTATCAATGCAATTATGTGTAATAACATTCAAAGTATCTCATTTTGATTGTTTTAATTCAATGTGTTAAAAGAAGGAGGGCTGAGTGGAGTAGCAACAAACACCTTCACACCCTAGGCCCCTCCCTAAAAGTTGGGGAGGGGTGGTACAACACAAGAGAGCTTGAGCCTAACCACTCCACATTGTGCACAACACATTTTTGATGCCAAGATAGCAGTCTAAACATCTCAACTGCATTAAAATCTACAGAGGACTGTTTGAATGATTTCTTAACCTTGCAGACAACACCCATATTTAGCTTTCYCTGCCTTGAAAAAGCCATCATAACAAAACCTCGACACTGTCGCAACGACAAATGCTTCCTTTTTGAGATAACTAACACTGATTTTTGAATACTTGGAGTTTATATCGAGCTATACCTTAGATCGAAGCTCCATCGAAAGGAATAATAATATAAGTTTCAACTTTTGATGTCGAATTCGATCGCAAACCGTTGGGACGTGCTACAACGGCTTCGATTCAATCTGCATGTGGTAGGCGAAAAATCATCTATATTACATTAATTCGTCCAAAGAGCATAACATGCAAGCTACGAATGTAGCAAAATAGCCAAAATAAGTCTTCCAACGCCTAAAATCTGAGSTTTTGCCCCTTTAAATATATGCAAGCTTACATTTGCTCCCTGGCTGTGGTTTCTGAACGATTGACATCGAAAGTAGTGTTGCACAACAAGCGYAAATCATTCCAGGATTTGCAGTAGATAGCGGCAATAGATGGCACTGGAGTATCTGTGGAAGGCAGTTCTAGCTGGCTGGAGTTCTAACGAGACGTTTCCGCAACAGTCCAAGCGCTTAGACGCCAAAATGTAACCGACGGAGCAAAGACCGACACCTACATCGTAGGTACCCACTATATGAGGCATGGAATTGGGGATCCCATTTTCAAAATCATAYAATACAATCATTATTATAAATAAAGTAAATCAGGATAGCATAGTTTATTTACATGTGACACTATACTTACTGGTTCTGAATCAGTTGAATAGTCAAAGCGCTCTTCCCTACACCTCCAGCTAAAAGTAGCAATAGAAATATATCAGTGATCAGGCCTGTGCGACATCSGAGGCCTARCTTCAAAGGCCAAAAACTACACTTATTTTCAGCCTGCCGGCATCCATATTCGTACCTCCAACCACTACTAGCTTGTACTCCGTCATTCTCGTCGCTCACGAATTTCTCGTGCAGCTTTCGATTACTTTTTCCCTTGACAAGTGGAGCTGCAAACAAGGTGTTCTCCGATCAGAGGAAATACTAACTATTGTTGAGTAAGGTCGTGGCCTGTTCCTCGCACAATGCGCATACTCCAGCCATGATAACCGCGTTCCAAAGGCCTTTATATAATCTAGCTAAATTTAACAGCCAATCAGCAACTCTTATGGACAATGCCTATTGTTTTTTCCACCAATCAAAATACTTTTACACGGATTGTACCGGAAGAAGTGCGGATRTCGGAATGGGTTTGGGCTTCAAAAAGTTTTTCAAAGTCACGTATTTTGACCGGAAGTATCACTTTTTGTGGGAGATTTGAACAAAAGGGTGCATTCTTTGTGGAAAACGAATAAAGTTAGCATGCACGAAAGAAAGTTAATTGAATAAGTTATACTTTTTAGGGCATATTGGATTTTGAACAGTCTAGAATGAATACTAGAACCGGTCTATTGGAATCAACGGACTGACGCAAGTGGCTTCACATCGTTCTATTTGTACTTCAGTCAAAAATAACTGTACAACGTCACGGTATATAATGATGGCGCATCTCTTTTTTGAAACGAGTCAGTGCAGAGATCTTTTGAATAGCATACCTTTTGCTTTTGAAATCAGTATGTTGAGAAAAGGAAAAATTCCGACAAGTTTGACAGGCATTGGTTTATAAGTTTCAGTTACATAGTTGTGAAGTCGCAATCTTTTTCTTGATTTTACCGGGTGCTTTTATTYGTTTGCAATACTTTTTACTTATGAAAATCTGTATTTTTGTTTAGTTAAACTGCGCAATACATACTTGCTGTTCAACGGCGGAGCACCAGTGCTTTCAACTGCCGCCAGTTGAGGGCCAAATTTAAATAAGACTCAGATAGAAGTTCACGTGAATGTAATCGAAAAATAAGCATGAAAAATAAAACAAAGAAGCTATAGACAAATATTCTCAGTAAAGCTTGTAAAATACCTATTTATGTTCAAGATCGTCAAAAATCCGCACGCTCTGATTGGCTGAGGTATCGAGAGTTCATCGACGTCTGTCACGTTTCAAAATGCATCGAAGTGGAAGAAATATAAAAAGGCTGAACAGACATATGGCAGCCAGGCTAAAATATTGCATTTGTGACTATATTTGCTTATCAAATTTCCAGCGAAAATACGAACGGGGAATTTCTCAGAAAAGGCTGGTTAACTTGACATATACATCACTAGTCAAAAACACTTTTCCCGATACTTGAGAATAACCTTGAACTTCGATTAGAAATTTTACAACAACATGATGTCAGTATGCTTACGTAAATACGAAAGGCTCGTCATAACAATTAATGTATTGTTTAAACACGCGAGTGACGTCAATAARGACTGGAACCGGAGGGAAAATAAGCTGACACTAGAACCTCCTCCGCAGGCCGCTTTTCGCTTTGTCACGGCACAGTCTATAAACACAACAATTACAAAGGATAGAGCGAGAAAAAAATGCAAGGGCTGGACTTTTGAATTGTTGAACTCACATTTAACATATTACAAGAAGACGAAAAAATCGTCTAATTTTCCTGTTTATTTTCAAAACTGATCAAATGAAGCCACACAAGAAATCGAGAATCATACAGTCTTGGATATGAATCCAACATTTTGACGTTATATGGGTGGTGTTTTTGAAGTCCGCAAAACATGGCCTAATAACCAGTGAGCATTGGTTTTGTTCTCGTCTCAGTGAATAAGACCGTTTCCACACCAAAGAAATTCTTTAATGACCCACCTACCAATATGTATAATTCAAAGTACCTGTATCGCAAGGGCGTGTGTGTAGGGTGGTTCCGGAATCCCCCTTCCTTGGCAGACGAGGTCTTTAAAATTTGAGACTTCAGTTGCCGAATCAATTGGTCAATACATTTGGGAGAGTCCAACAGTTTGTTCGGTGTAATGGCATCGAACAATACCTTTTGCGATTTAACATTCAAACGTCTTCTTTCATGTCTAGAAACAAAGCTGAAACTCCTCCACACGCCCCCGTATCGCGCCCAAAATGTTCGAGTCAACATTTTTTGAAAAAAATCATGCGTGAATTTAAACGTGAATTTATTTAAAATAACTATCATAAATAGTACAACGTTTGTATTATTAAACATATTTATCAGCATATTTCGTACATTTTTTTGTAAGTTTGGGACCTGATTGCTTGCTTCATTTTTTAACCGAAGGGTGAAACTTTGCCATGCCACACCCACCCTTTGGAATCTTTCAGGAAAATTCTGACAAGCATTTCGCCCATTTCAGGACACCCATTTCTTCTATTGATTTCTTTTTGCGCTGAATATCTTAGGGGTTTCTACCACTTCAAATTTAGTGTTCATAGAACACTCATTTTCAAGCGAACATATAACAATTTCTCATCAATATGATCAACTTAAAACTGTAACAATATTTTCAAGAATAAATAGTTTGAAGACTCGTACCCAGTTGTTGTTTTTTTTTGCTCGTTTTAAGGGTCACGCTGCATCAAGGGAAGTCCAAACTTTCAACTTCCCTTGATCCTTTGCGCGCACCAGAGAAAAAAATAGTAACAACTGGGTACTAGTCTGTCATATAACAGCTTTATTGTAATAGAGTACCGAAGTGATGTGACATAACATGCTGAGTATTTGAAATTCCATCATTTTCCAATTCCTTTTTTTTACCAAATGCCGGTATCCTAGTACCATGGACTACATACAAAAATCTATGTAAATATGCTCTGGTTATGAACAAAACTAAAAGCAAACTTACAAGCGTAATGTATGTGGTAATCCAACCTTAAAAGACCTTATACATCCACTATAAATGGTACTAGAACTCTGAAATTTAGTAGACAGCAACTTTTTGTCATGCCACGTAAGGATACTGTTAGCAAGAAATCCAATAATCAAAAAAGAAAAAAAATATTTGTGACATCACTTTGGTAATCTATCAAACTTTTAACAAATAACAACTATAACAATTAGATGTAAAGTCAACCAATATATTATTCTTTGTTACTCTAACTGTAATATATTATTCAAGGGAAATTAAATAAGTTAATATGTGCAGCCAGTACATCACGTATGCAAACTCTTATCAGTGCTTTCTTTGATACACCAATTCAAAAATGTTGCCAGGTTGAGAAAGGCAAAATCATCCAAGCCAAGAACAAAGGGGATTTTGGGTAGTTTTTGGTATAAATGTCAATCATATCTTGACCTTCCATGTTGCACTTTCAGTCTTGGCTTTGATAATTTAGCCTTAATTTTAATGCAGTGTTTTTTTCAAAATGTTTTCATATGATATTGACCACGTTATCTGCTAGTTAGTATCTGATCCTGCTCTTTTTCAAGTTCCTAAATGCAAAAAAGRAATTTAATTATTTGCAACAATAACTACAGGAGTGGATACAGGGAGTGATCTAGAGACACTGGACTTGGTTGTAGGACAGTTTGATCTACAAATGTCWTGGGACTCCAAACTGACCAAAACATTGATCAACTCTACACAGTTATGAATTCATAGAGAGCCAAAAGGCTGTGTTCCTACACCAGATATAGAAATGAAGGAAAGCTATAGTGCTTAGAAGGAGGTAATTCGCCAGGAGAAAGACCCTTGGAAATAAATCCGGAAAAAGTAATTTCTGACTTCACTGAGATTCGAACCTACGACCTTCGGATTTGTACTACTGATGCTCTACCAGCTGAGCTACAAGGCCAGACTGGGAGCAGTTCAGAGTGAAATAGATGTATGGTTACAGTAATTAGAATGTAAAGATATGAACACRAGAAGGTTGCTACACAACCAGTCCAGTTGACAATTTATAAATGCAATATTAGCAATAGACTGGTTTGCACCAAAGCAAAAGTTCCTCATCACAGACAACACAGTAGTTGTAAATCAACTGCTTGTATGAAAACCATTGCAAATGCACATCAGCTGTTTTACTTACTTTTAACTTGACTTGAAGCTTTAAAACTTCTATTTCTTCTTTTAGGGTATGAATCTAAACAAACAAACAAAATCATTGTTAAACTTCTTGCAAGTTAAATTGATTAAAAATAATATCTCAACTTTTTCTGTCTGTCAAAGCAAAGTGAGCATAAATCATGTTTGAGGAGGGAAAAAAATACAGAGGGGTTCTCACTGAGCAAGGCTTTGCCCAGTGTGCATTATTTGATGGTTCCCTGGGTGGTAGGTTTATGTACTATTTAAAGTTTGTATGCAACATTCATGTTCCATGTGTGGTAGATTTCAATAGTCTCCTTCACTGTTGAGCGACGTGCAATGATAGAAACCTTCTTTCACACCTACAGACAATTATTCACAGGTATCTATCATTGCACGCTCAACGGCTGTCTTGCTTTGATGTAAAGGCACGGCTACCTTTCAAGATGGCGTAGGGAACCTTGAAGGAGACTATTGTTACTTGTAAGGAAAATAGGATTGCTTTTTGTAATATATATTGTAATATTTTATACCTTTTTTGGAAGTCTATCAAGTTCTTCGAGTAGTTCCCTTTCCTGAGAGTTTCAAATCAAATTGAAATATTACACATTCAGAATACATATGTACATATGTACATGCGCAGCAGGTTCATTGAAACAATATTGATGTACGTACCCTTTTGTCTAGGTCTACAAGTTCATCGCCTCGTTTCTACAAACACACAGAAAACACTCAATAATTCATGTTTATTATGTCTATTAYAWACCTTATTATTATTGCACCCRCCAAGAATAGTTTTAAAACTAATTGTGGGTAGCAATACTTCTTGTATTTATTTAATCAAATGTAAATARAGTATTGTTGTTGTTGTTGTTTATTTGGTATTAGCAGTAAAAAACATATACAAAATTTCAATGTCTTATTTATATACACCTACTTGCAGAAAYGTTGTCATAGAAAATAGAACATTTGAATTTAGTAAAAAGGAATAAATTAAAACAAGACAAAAGARAGCGTTCAGCCTCAGTGATCTTCTTTTGTCTTTTTTAATTTATTCCTTTTTTACTAAATACAAATGTCCTATTTTCTATGACAAYGTTTTCGCAAGTAGGTGTATATATCTTGTTTTGTGTTTTATCTTTACAWTTTTTTTCTGCTGTCATTGGTTGAGAGTGATGATGATACATGTATCAATCATGTGACGTGATAGTGCATTCCGCGGAGGGGTACTACCATTACAGCATAGGCCTAATGCTGCTTCAGAGCAGTTTAAATCTTGGGCATTATGCTATAATAAATATCCTTGGAAACTGGGTGTCAAAATTTCATAACCTGTATTACTGTTTGACTAGAGCGGATTTCGTATGAGTGGGACACCGTTACCGCACGGTTACCGCACAGTTACCGGACCTGGCCTGCACAATTTTGGTGAACCAATGGGGCACTAGAATTTGGCTACAGTACGATTACGGTCACAGTACAGTACCGTCCGTATCCCACTCATACGAAATCCKCTGTATATATATTTGTTTTTTCAGAACATCAAGTTACCACAAGCCACCATCTTCATAGCATATTGTCCTGGATTCAAATACTTTATTGTTGTAATAGTGTACTGTACCTTTTGTAGTTCAGTGATTTTCTGGTCATTTTGTGCAATAATTTCCAKTAATGCCTTTCTTTCCTTCATCCATTCTGGTTCTTGATTTGAAGATCTATTATCCTGTCCTGTGCCCTTTTCACTCACAGTGCTACAATTATCACTTGAGCCTGAGCCCTGAAAAAGTATAACTTGTCAATGACAATAGGCTCTACTTAAACTTTTAAAAGTGTTTTAACTGCGCTCCTGATGTTTGTAATTTCCATGCATGGGCARTCTGTTAATTCGTTTGAACTGCTGCATGCTCTAGAACAGTTATGTTAGTTACTATAGCATTTGCTTACATTTGTATCCTCGCACATGCATTGTAATTTCATTTTGTCCTGATGATGGACAAGTTGTCCAAAAGCTCGGTAATTATATAAATCAATGTAGAAGAAGCATTACCTTTATAGTGTTTTAACAAAATATCTATTAACAGGAAAAAATAATTGCTAAATCTTGGCAAATGAGAATCAAAAATAGATTGCTTCATGTGCGAAGGACATCATATTACCAAAACAATCACTGACTTTTTTTTGGAAATCAAACTGTAACAGGAATAGTGTGTTTTGAAATATAGTGGTTGATTATTATTTTTTCTTGGCTTATTCTTGTGAAAGGAGACTTACTTTGTCAGATTCTAAACTTCCTACTGACCAAAGAGAGGATGAGGCTTGCTTACTTAAACCAGAACTTGGAACCCTGCAGTATAAAGTGAGTAATGCAAGCATACAGAACTGCATTCACACAACCGGAAAGGAGTCTTAATTTTCAGAGCAAAGCAATTGTAGATTATATTTATTGCATTAACATTAAATAAGTAGAATGCAGTTATCAGCCAACAAGAATGCATTAAAGATAAAACAATTCAGAGTGAAAACTAACTTTTTGAAAGATTTCTCCACACGTAACAATGATTCTATTCCCCTTGAATTACGGAATGGAAAATGATTGAACTGTGAAATTGCCCTCTCAGCATCTTTTTCATCTTGAAATGATACAAACCTGAAACAAAAGTATGTGAATATTGACAACATATATATGGGAGGGTAATCAACACTTAAATTATAAGGACCGGGTATTGTGCAGYATACATTTAATGTAACTGAGCAATTTCACATATTAGAGTTTCCATGTAAAATTGCAATAAAACACACTTGTCTCACAGCAAGATTTGTGAGCTATACATGGAACTATGTCTAACATGAACCAAATTGAGAAAACCAATGATTATTGTCATTATTGTTGGTCAACTCACCCATACATGTAAACGGTTGATAGATTGAAGTGGATAGATTTTGGTGTACGTAAAATGACATCTTTCAACGGACCAATGGAAGAAAACAGAAAAAATATCTCTTCCTACATAATGTAAAGAAAAAAACCGTCAATTCAATGAGGAAATTTCAGAAATACAACCCAATGTGTGATTGTGTGGATATCTTATAAACAATCATAACACAGCGTTATTGCATCATGGACTACGGAGCAGACATTTTTCAAAAATTTCCGAATCCCCCCTAGTACCTCATCGCCGCTAGCCCCCCAAACAAATTCACGTTCCGCGGTCCCCGTGCATGAATCGTGGGAACACGAACATTTCCTAAGAATTAATGCTTTGACATCCAATTATGAAAACAAACAATGAAATTTCTTGTAAAACCTTATTTAACCTTATGCCTGAATTCTGCTTGTTTTGGAAGTTTACAATCACTATAGCTAACACATATTTTGCGATTAAATGCAAGAAGATCGTTATCAAACATCAAACATTTATACAATGTAAGTTTTATAGAGGTGACACTTCTTTCAATAGATTCCACATGTGCGTTGATCAACAGCGGAATCCTTGCATAGTAGACTTTAGTGTTTGGAGACTGCATAGCTTATATCATTACACAGCTACTTATACAATTATACCTACCTTTGCTGTTCCGTTTGGTATATTTTTCAAGAAAACTTTGCCTTTCTCTTCTACTTTAAATTCTGCCATGATCGCATCAACTTCACAATAAACCACAGGAAGCCCATTCATTGTTCATTTCAACACAGGAAACCCGAACACTGTTTGAATTTTGATAGTATATCATTTAACTGACGGAGAAAAATAAAGGGTTTTTACACATAACACCTTATTAGCTCCTAAAAGTTTGATTGAATGTATGTCCCTGTCATTTTCTTTATTTGAAAAGGTA